CTGGAACACATGTTGAAAATCACTGTTTAAAACTGACATGCTATACTTTTATCAAATGAGCTCACTTAAGGATTAACAGTGTCTTTAAAAATCAAGCTCTCTAAAGAATAATAACCCTTCCCTCATGCCCTAGTATGAGTACCTTAATCTGACTGCTCTATACCTAAAACATAGTGAAAGTAGCAGTAAAAGAAACTTAATGGAATCTTGAATGATGGGGCCTGGTAAGGACTCAGCAAAAAGCTGAGTGATGACACAGGGCCCTTTGCAATAAAGGAAGAAGCAAAGGAAGGAGGAAGAAAATATTTTGTACTTTTTGCTGTGGTTCTGATGAGTTCAGTTCACCTCTATGTCACTGGAAATCACATTTGCCCTGCATCCTGAATCAACTTGCACATTGCTGAGCTTCATGCTAATGTCTGGTTTAGGAGATAGCATTGGGAGGGAAGCGATACAAACAATAGAGGAAGGAAGGGATAGAATGGAGGGAGGAAGATGGTGTGAGCAGAGTGGAGGGCAGCTCCAGCATTATCTCAGGGCCATAGGTGGCCTCTCCTGCCTTTACAAATCCTAAGATTTCACTTTCACTGCCAAAATACATATTAGAGGCTCAGTTTTGAACTTCAGTTTTATTGCTTTGTATTCCAAGCTATTCTGATATGCCTTTGAGAAGGCAGGATTTTGAACATTTATTGAAGTAACTTGTATAAATAAAAAGGGACTCCAATTTCACCTGCTAACCTCTGCACTAGCCAAGGAAGTATCACCTGCCCCTACGCTAAAGACTTATATAGTTTGTCCAATCTCAAGAATTGTGAAATTGCATATTATTTTTAAGTGATGATACATATTTCAGATACCTTCAGATGAGATGACCCTTCTGCTCTCAATGGCAAATGAAGGAAGAAAAGAAATAGGTATTAGAACTTGCTATGGTAGAAGGTCATATCTTTGTGGCTGTAGCAATTCTTGTCAGTTAATGGGTCCAACTTACTCAAAATAAGCTAGCAAATTTTATGGAATGTTCATGGTTGCAAGATTTGTCTGATAAGTTCTTTTAAGTCAATGACATTCAGACCACCAGGTACTAGTATTGACAATATTGTTCACATGAATCTGAACACATTTTATTGTTTCATAATGGTGGTTTATGCCACCCTTTCTATAATGGAGTTTTTACTCAAAACTATTTGAGATTCTCCATTTAAAATTCAATAGTTTTAGGAAGAAGACAGGGTAAAAGTCAGTATAACTATGTATAGCTAAAAAAATCTCTGAGAGAGAAAAATCTTTATCCTAGGGCCAGTAAGTTTCACACAGTTGCCCCGCGGCTCCAATTATGGTCCTTATACTTTAATCAGTGAAGGACAAAGGAGCAGTGTCATGGCATCCAGGGATTGCATTAGCCTCTCAATTGAGCGTGTCTCATCTTACTAGAACTTACATAAACTGAGATACCCGACAGTGGCACAGTTAGTTTGGCATTCTATATTAATATTTTGTTTTGAAACAATCTGGTCCACTGTCTGGTGACCTTAGTTAACAATAAACATATGATCATATCAGAAAGTCAGTGACTCAAAAAACAATGCATAGACCAGTTTTTCCACTTTAAAAAATACTCAAGCAAAACTCAGAAGTTCACATTATACCTTTAACACTAAGATCATAAGGTCCTTATGTACATAAGAATTGAGAAGACATTTTTGTGAAATGAGGATATACATGTCATATAGTTCTGAGATCACCTCCAGGCAATAGATTTGTATAAATAACAAGGGACAAGTGATCAGAAGGTATGTTATTTTAAGTAGAATCTATCTTCTGTTCAGATTCATCCATTTGTCCTTTTCTGGCACCATCCCCTTCCTGATTCCCCCATAAAAGTTGTTTTCTGTCTGGAAGTACAACAAGACACCCAGTTAGATCAAAGCTATTGTGCCTCCATCACTAAACTACTTTAAGCTGCCGCCGACGATTGTCACTTGAGGGGAGACCCTCCTCACCACACACAGCCTATCTGAGGAGTGCCTTTTTTCTATCCTCATTATTTAACAGTGTGTGCCGATTACTCAAAGCGATATGGGCAGGCCCTGGTAAATATAGCGTTGCTGTAGTGTTAACTTTTTATAAGGTAATGCTCAGGTTGCCTGCAGTGTCTAAAATTACTCTGTGGCCAGGGCCCCCTGCTTTATCGCTTTCTATAGTTTTAAAGTAGTTTAAAGCTTGAATAACATAAAATAACATAATATAATGTTATTTATGTTATTTCCCACGTGAAGAACGCCTGTAAACCTTGCAGTATTGAAACTCAGTGAACAAGGCATCTTAGACAAGCTGAAAAACAAATGGTGGTACGATAAGGGGGAATGTGGAGCCAAGGACTCCGGGAGTAAGGTCAGTCGCTGAAGGTCTTTTTGTACTGATTAGCAATCACATTTTGACCCACTGTTTATTTTCTACCCCAAAATGGCTTTCCTTCCCAACACACAGTCCCTGACACAGTGGGACCCTTTTATAACACCAGCGCCAAAGGGATAAGGCAAACGTCAGCCCCAGAGGCTTGCCTGTGCCATCGACCATAGATTCTGCAGCGCTGTGATAATGATAAGGGAACTCAGTGTGGCCCAGTGCATTCCAAAGCTGTAAAATTATAAGCTGTGTTATAAGGGGGTTTTACTGTATTTCACATTTCGAAAGTGCAAAGAGAAAACATAACAGTAACAACCAAGAGGAAAAAAATGATCCAGTTGTGACAGTACTTTTTAAAAAAAGAACTCTTACAATGTCAGAGACTTTGTAGTTGTAAATATCTTTGGTTATTAATATTAATATATTACAGCTATCCCACCTGAAAACAAATAAAGACTGGTCTCTGTAAGCAGAGTGATTAGTTCCCTCCCAGCTGCTGTCTTATTGAATTCAGCATCTATTTGGATCTCAAAGTTCATTAAATCTGTCACACTTCTCTTGCCAAAGGTGTCATTTAAATCTCTGTACTTAACACTTTTAAAATTTAGTCGCATGCTCCTTAAGGGTATACCCTGTCAGGATTACATCACATTGATAAGCATGAAACACTCTTCCCCGCCTCCTTCCTGCCCCCCTTCACTCCCGTAAGAAAGTTCTTTTTACTTTCAATGTTTGCCTTTTCCTTTTTTTGAACTAATATTGTGGTATCAGTTAATTCATTTCATGAAATGCCACTCATTTTCCCTGTGCAGTGAACCATTTTGCTACTGGTTTTCTATACCCCACATGAGGGAATTTTATAACTGCTATGAAACAAACACATGCAACTTGAAACTTTTGTTATTGCTATAGTTTTCATGGGTGATGCTAAAGGACCTCTCCCCTACCTTTTAAATACCATCTACATATATACATATGATGGCAGTGGGAGGGTTACCAGAAATTAATCCATTTCCTAATAGACTGTGGAACATCCTTGCAGATAGTCTCATCAACCTCTTTAAAGCGATAATTCATTGTTTCTTAAGTGACAACAATTTACCACCCACTTTACTGTCATTCATCTTAGAGTGTCTATTTGCAAGGTTGTTGTAGACATGCAGCATCCCGACACCCCCCTTACTGAATGTGATCCAGTTTCAATTAGCCTTTATTTTTTAGGCAAATAAGTACAGGGCTATCTCCTTAGAAAATAAGATCAAAAGGACATGGTCATATTCCCTTTCCATTTGATGCCTTAAATACACCAGGATTAGCTAAGCCACAATATTAAGGGTCAGCAATGGCTATCATCTGCTTATTCTAATATCATTTAAATAAGATGCTCAAAATTCACTGGCTTGAAAAATCTGAGTATTCCGTTCAGTTACACTCAGCAGCAAAATGGTTACATTTCCTCTAAAAAGACTACAAAATGCTACTTTTTTTCTTTTCAAAGAAAGACTCCTGGCCCTTGGTGTGTCCTACCTCAAGGTAGGGCTCAAGACACCACTTTTTTCTTTCCATTGTTCAGCAGTTCAGCTTTTGCTTTTTCACACAGGTAGATAGCTTAGTCAGATTTGTTGTTTGACCTGAAAGTCACTGACCTGCTTCCTTGATTTTCCCCCATGTTAAATAGAAAGAAGTTAGGAGTAGTTTTCTTTCTTTTGTTTTTAACTAATCTCTACACTCCCTGGAGTAAAAATTGAAAATGAGCTGGATTTTTTTTTAATCATCAGCCTCCTGGAAAAACTTTCTAATTTGTATGGAGCCAAACCAGGACCCAAAGGGTCCTCCTGACTGACACCTTAAACTTTCAGGAAGATTGGAACAGAGCCAATTCTTTGTGCTACCCTTTGTTCTAGCAGTACAAAGACTTGCTGCCCTGATTTTGACTAGGATGAAAACCTAGCAACCAATTTCCAAAGGAAGCAATTTCTCAGTCACTGGGGGAAAGAGGAGAGTTAACCCTTTTTAAACAAACCCTCGTGAAGTAACTTTCCAGAAAAGAATATCAGAAACTTTTACTATTCTCACCCGGTATCTTAAAGACTAGTTATCAAAGTTGGTCAACGGGAGAACAAGAGAGAAAGGGGTGTTGCGGGGCAGAGAGAGGAAAGAGTGCTTCAAGTCCCCAAATGAAAAGACTGTTAACATTTGTAGAGCTTATGCCACAGCTCAACTCTGGAAAATGGTGTTTGTTGAGACCAGCAGAGGAATAAATTATGCTTGTGTTTACTGTTTTGCTCCCATGACCAAGTGCTGCCTTATGTAGTTGTTGAACACCATTTTTAAGTACTAAAGGAGCATAAGGACTGAAAATTAAAGGGCTATTTAGGTAAGGATCAAAACTGTCAACAGATGCACAATATATCATTTTGCTGGTCGTTGTGAAACATTAGCCAGTTACCAGAGTTGAGTCAAAACACTTTACATCAATATTTAGTTATTTTACAATTTAGAACTGTCCTGTACTGTTGAACTGTATTATAATGTTCCATTGCCTTTGTTTTTGCCCAAGAACTAACCATGTTGTTCATTTTTCTTAGGACAAGACCAGCGCTCTGAGCTTGAGCAATGTGGCAGGCGTTTTCTATATACTTGTCGGAGGTCTGGGGCTGGCCATGATGGTGGCTTTGATAGAATTCTGTTACAAATCTCGGGCAGAGTCCAAACGCATGAAACTCACAAAGAACACCCAAAACTTTAAGCCTGCTCCTGCCACCAACACTCAGAATTATGCTACATACAGAGAAGGCTACAACGTGTATGGAACAGAAAGTGTTAAGATCTAGGGGTACGGTTAAGGTCTAGTAAACTAATCAGCCTTATATGACTGTATTCTAATCTCTTCGTTTTTTTCTTTTTTTTTTAAGTTTGGCTTCTTATTTTAAGCATTGACCCTTCTTTGCAACCATTCAGTTCTTTGAAACAATGACTGACCTTTCTTGTCAGGCAGTGATACTTTTCTAATTCCATAGGTATAATTAAAATGTGATCTGTGGCCTAAAAGAAAAGAGAATTCTCTAGAGCAATGTCATTAAATAAAAATATATGCAAACCACATATAAAAACCACATGTATACTTTTAAACGGTCTAGCAATCACATTTGAAAAACAAGAGAAATTAATTTTAATGATACATTTCATTTAAACCAATATCTCCATTATCATTTCAGCATGTTATCAATTAAATGAGAATATTAAAAATGAATGAGGTATTCGGCATTCTTTTATTCCTATTGATCTTAGATATCTGGAGTATATTTTATACTTTGGGTACTTCTCACCTCATACTAGCCACATATGAGATATTGAATAGTTGCATGTGCTCAGTGGCTCCTCTAGTGGGCACTAAGGAAAGGAGCTGCTCCAGCACTGACATTACAATTAGAACTCCATATAAGGCCCTGTCACCTCAGGTAGTGCAGCATTCCCATTAGGGAGCTATTGTTCTTCCAAGTAAATAGTCATGGTTGAGATCATTTATCTTTGAGCTCTGCGTTTGTCCCTTCCTTAGAACTGTGTCTCTCAAAAGATGTACTCGAGTCACTGATGCTGGTCAAACCCAAATTAATATTTGAGTGAGCCTGACTGATGTTGCCTTGACTCTATCAGCTATAGCCAAACCCCACCAATAACTGAGATATATTCAAAGACGGGCTTGTGTTAGGATAATGTCTCCTTTCTGGAAGTGTTTAAAAGAAATAGTCTAACTACCTGCGAGTGCATCTGTCATTCCTAACATGCTTAAAAGTGGAACAGAATTAGCAACTTCATGCCCATTTATTTTAGGTTAGTGATTTGGACCTTGTCAATGTGCTAGAATTTCTACTAATGCATTTGTGTTTTGAACTTCTTGTTCAAACATGAGTCTAAATTCAGCCAATTTTTAAACATTTCACTCAAATAAGTCTTCTTTATCCCCACGGAAGTGACCTTATTTAATGAAGTTACTGGTTGTCCTGTCCTCCTGCAAGTTGTAGCCATTTCCCACAGCGTATTCAATGCACTGAACTAACCTTTTGATAAAGTGTTCCCCTTGCAGAATATTTGACACAAAGCATTTAATGTTCAGTGTTCTTAAAATGTTTTCCTCTTCAGTAAATGATGTAAGCCTCCAGACTATTTGTAAGCTATTCCATCTGAGAATCTATGCCCTTGCTTACCAATTACTATAACCTGACTATCTTGTTAAAGCCCATGAGTTGTGCTCTTCAAACATCAGCAAACACACAAATCATGTGATGATTTATAAACCTAAAGATCCTGATTCAGTGGATCTATATTAAGGCCTAAAATTCTACACTTTTTACAAGGTACAGGACATGAAAATGCTATTCTCTGGGAAGGAGGAAGGAAAATGGGGAGAGGGAGGAAGGAAAAAAGGAAGGAAGGAAAGAAGGAATGAGAGATGGAAAGGGAGGGAATAAAAGAAAGAGAAAAATAAAAGTAAGAAAATAGAAATAAAAAATAAAAGAAAAAAATTTAGAAAGAAAGTCAAGTTGAATCAGAAATCAATTTTTTGAACAGAACATTGAGATCCTAAATTTGAGGCCTGGAACATCAAACTGGAAAAAAAAACAGCCTCAGAAATTAACTTGCCACACTTTTGACTTTGGATTGTTTTAAGTCTTTTCAGTTGATCCACTTTTATGAAACAAACTTTAGGCTAACTTAGACAAAAGTCACATATAATAGACACTGGTGTCCTTATGATTAGAGTCTAGCTAGCTAGCACCGTGGCAGCCATCTATGACATGCTAAGAAAACCTGGGAAGAACTTCCATAAACAAATGTGCCCTCCAAGCTTGTGTAAAGCCCCAAGATAAGAAGAAAAAGCCTCAGAAGATGTCAAGAAAACCTCACATGTGTCAGTCAAGTGGTACAAAGCTGACTAAGCAAGAAATAGAAACCTCCTTGCTGCCCTCAGACAATTTGTTGATGTGCTGCTAAAGGAGCATTGGGTAAATGAAGAGTGAGCTCTTTACCCATTCATCTTTTATTTCCAAGAGAATTCTAAAATATCTCCTAGAAACTTGTAGTTTATTATCTAGATATTAGGCTTTCCATTTCTGAGTTGGCCTAGATCTGTCAGGGCCTATATTCAGGGGAACACAGATGGAGAGGCATCCTGAGATTTTACTTTTATTGATAATTGTCAGAGCTCACCTGGGAGACTTATAGTGCTAGTAATTGTTCAGGAACAATGACTCAGCATAACTCACCTGCAAGAATATGACACAGTGAAATCTGGGTAATGAAAGGGAATCCTTGAAAAACAATGAATTTGTCTCTTCTATCACTGATGGTGCGATCAGGATTATTAGACAGGCACATGTGTCCCGGGCTCAGATCATGTTTAGCAGTCACTAGAGAGACAACTTCTTGACTCCCTGATAACTCTCTGGATTCCTGACCAGTCACTGGAAATCTTCCTGCTGCACCACATGCTTTGGCAACTGACCTACCATCAAGTGTTCCAGATTTGCTATACTGTAGGTTTGACTATCCTAGTTATTTTAAGAAACTTTTCCAGTTTCCTCATTGGTGTTCAGAACTACTTCTAGCTTTTTTCTGGTTTCTTCAACAATATTTTTGAAATCCCTCTCATATGCAAAACTACAATATGCCTGAAGTTTGGGTAAAACATTTTCATTTTTCTTCTGAGACAACTATTGTGTTTAGGAAACATTAACTTTTTTGTGTGTGGCTTATTTTCAAAGGGATCAATTTTCCTTTTGCACCCTATGCATATGCATTCTTCCTGGAGAAATTTTCCTTCTTCAGCTTATGTCTAGTGGAAACAAAATTCTGCATAACTGGGGTGATGATGTTCTTCCTCTCAAAAGAACTTTTACCTTAGTGATAACACTTCATTTATCCCCATTTAAAAGAAGGAAACAGGGGGCATATAGCTCAGCAGTACAATGCCTGCCTGGCAAGCACAAGGTCCTGAGTCTGATTCCCAGTTCCAACAGAAAAGAGAAAAGAAAAGAAACAGAGACCTTGAAGGATTGGGTTACTTTCCTAAAATCACCCACATAGATAGTGACACCCAATAGCCTAGGCAGGGAAGGGCTTCGATCTTTCTGCAGTAGATATAAAACTTCTCCAAGCTCTGAGAGATATGACTCAGGACTAGCGAATCCAAGGAAGAGTTGGGCCCACATCCATATTAATTTTGTTTTGCTATCCTTGGCCTTCAGGTATATGTCTGACATTCTTCTTACAGACATTTTATTATAGAGCCAGTTGTAGATAATTATTATGTTCTTCCTTTGGGATAAATTCAGTGTTCACTCTGGAGAAAAAGAAGTGTTCAATTGGCCTACAGGGAAATGATGAATAGGAGAGTGTGAGCTTGAAGAAGAAGCAAGGCATTGATCTCCTATGCTCAGAGTAAGCGATAAATGATCCCCTACACTAGTTATGACCTCCAAACAAGGGTGGCACCAGCAGCATCTTAATCAGACCCTTAGTGTTGAGGCAAGGACTCCATGGCTGTAGTTCTTCAATACCATTGCTCTAGCCTCTTCCTAGAAAGTGCTCTTTTGCTATTTTCAGATTTTAAGAACATTGTATAAATTAAGAGAATTCACCTGTCAACGAGCAGAGTTTCCTCTCACAGTTAAAATAGATTTCAATTAGTAAGCGCTAAAATACTGCTCACCTGTGGTCTTAGGTTTAAGTGCTTTGTCACAGACTCTGTAATAAGTGTATACTCTTCAATGTAGTTCTTCTGTGTATCTCCACATAAATGCCACTAAAATTTCTAGTAGATCTATGTCCTAAGTGAATGAAGTCGAGTCTGACTTCATGCAAGGCCTGCATGTTTCTCAGTACAACAAACACACATAGTAGAAGATGATCCTAACTTAACCTATTGCAAAGCATTTGCATCAAAACTGACAAATTTAACCAGGTGTGTTGCCTAAGGCCAGTCAAATAAGACACATCCCAGGTAGTGCCAATTTGAGAAAGCAGCCACAGGTTTTGCCCAAGATAGACTGAGCCATCATGAGACTCAATTTGCAATAGAAAGCTCTCTTCAAATTTAAATTTCCCCTTGCCTTTGCAGATCCTTTCCCACTGGAGGCATACAATGAGAGGAAATCACTGAAAACTTGGCTGCTTCAAGGATCCTGAGCCAGATTTCACTCTCCTTGGTGTCGGGCATGACACGAATATTGCTGATGGTGCAATGACCTTTCAATAGGAAAAACTGATTTTTTTTTCCTTCAGTGCCTTATGGAACACTCTGAGACTTGCAACAATGCAAACCATCACTGAAATCTTTTTGCTTTGCTTGAAAAAAATTAAAATAAAAACAAACAAAAAACGGACATGCAAGATTCCAGTATGCGGAAAAAAAAATCTTACTGAAAAAAGTCAATTCAACAAAAGCCATTCTTTGATACCACTGCACAGTATATAAACAACATGTTCTTTAATATACACACACATACAAATATACACACATACACACACACACACACACGCACACACACACATTTAAAATCCCAGTTTAGCAAATAGGCCCACTCATCTTAGCTAAAAGAATTAATTCCTCCTGATTAAAATAATAAATATTATATATATATACATATATACATATATATATATATCTGTCTCCCGGTATTTGGGAAGACAGACTGGCATTTCTTCTAGGATCTGCAGACCAGATGTTTTTGGTATTTCCTGTTGGTGGTGATATTCTGTATACCCTATTTCCTTTCAATGTTGCTGAAATGTGTGTATCTTTAGAATGTAAGTGCGACACTTATGAAAATTCAAATGCTTTGAAAAAGGGACTAAACGGTGACTTCTCTGTGTTCTTGAAATGGTTTTGTGAAAATGCTTTGAAAACTTCCCACTTGGTAAAGGGATTAAGAGAGCTTTTGAAATCAATGTATGTGTAGCAAGAGATGGGGCACTATCAGGCAAACCTCTCGGTGCTTTCCTACAATGGATCCCCGGGGCTTTCCAAGAAGCCTGGAATTTCAGCTCACAGATCTGTTTTTCTTGCTTCAGTGTGCATTTTAAGTCAATATAGCTGAGTATTTAGCATTGAGGTAAGGGAAATGCTGCCTATACTCCCAGATGTGTTTAGAGTATCTTTCTCAGAAACAACACTGTGTTTAGCTCTGCTTTCTCTGCTAAGTATACCTTTAAAGTGTACACCACCAAGACAGGACCGTGTTGCAAGGTGGGCCAGTGGGTTCAGACCACAGTTCTCAATCTGACTTTACTCGCGCTAGGTCTGTTTTACCAGCTGTTGCCTGTTACTGCCCGCGGCTCTCCGTCAAACTGCATGTGTCCTTTTCTAGTTTGCAAAGACTAAAATGCATTCCCAAACCTACTGCTAATCTGAGGGCCTAAGCATCATTCCCAGGTCCTTGCTTGGAGCAAATTCTCTGCTGACTCTCAGAAGATCAATCTACTGCTCCACAGGCTATCAAGTAACTAATTGCATACCTGCCACTGACATCATCTGAACAGCCTGAGGAAATAGTCTCCGCTCACTAATTACCTCCTATATAACAACGTAAGCTTGCTGTAGTAGAGTAGTTTGCTCTCATCGGTAATGTGCATTGGGAAGTTTGCAGACTGTAAAAACTAGGAGCTCACCTTCATTTCCCAAGTGTGACCCTTAGATGCTTAGTTGACTTACTGGATATTTGCTCCTGTCTTCAGAAAAGAAAGGAAGAAGTCTCGTTCCCACGAAACATTTTCAGAAAAGTGTAATATAAACTTTCATTCCAAAAATTGTGTCATAAGCAAATAATTCACCTGTCAGATTTTAAATGGTATTCAACAAAAAAGGAAAGCTGTTGTATTTTTGTTTTGTTTTGTTTTGTTTTGTTTTCATGAAACTGTGATTTTTCAACTTATGAATGCTATAATGTCCCAGTGTGGGAAGCTAATGCTGTGTGAATACAAAGTTGTTTAAAACAAACCAACCAACCTACACACAAATATTTTCATAGGCACTGTATAAGAGAAATGTATGTTTATTGATTCAAATCAGTTTTTCAGAGCGGAAACTTCACTGGGATAAAGAAGTGAGTAAATTGGTTTATTATTTTTAAAACTTGCATGTTTAAAAAGCTGATTGCTTCAAATTTCTGCTACTAACTTCAAGTTATGGGAGTTTGGCAGTACTCACTTGAGGATATTTTTTCCAATTCTTTTCTTTTTGTTGTTAAAGCTGTACTTCAGTGAACAGAAAAATTGCCAAGCAAACTAATGGCCATAAAAGCATAAATTGCATGTGTGGGCATAATTACAGAGCCTCATTGCCATGAGGTATTGTACAAAGTTTTAATACATTTTGTAAATAAAATTGTAAAGAAAGAGTTTTGCTTCTATGCTTTGTCTAGTTCTTTAAAATTTAGTTGGATGCAATGCCAAGAAGTCATTTACTAACTGATTTCCCACCTGAAGCTTTACCAATGAAATGATCATCACCTTACTGGTGATTTTCATGAAGGATCGTAACCACAGTCAGGCTCACATCCCTCAGCCCAAGCTGTACCACAAGTCAAGACGTTAGATTAGTGTGATTCAAGGCCTTCCATTCTCATTCTTTACTTTCTCTACCCTTTGTCACCCTCCCCACTCCACTAGGCAACTTTTATTCTCCCAAGGGTCACTGATTTAGAATGGGGGAAAAAATAATGAACTGAGGACTCAATGGATTTTAGGATATTTCTGGAGAAGAAATAAAAGGTTTTTCCTGCTTGATTTTTAGATTCTGAATAGGGAATTCCACTTTATCCAATAGGCTAACTAAGTGTGTAAGTGCATATCAGTTTTATAGAATGACCAAAAAAATAAAAATAGAAGAAAGAGGACATAATTTGCAATGGAGCTGGGAAACTGTAAAATACAGTTGAGAGTCTAGAGAGATAAAAGGAAATATGTCTGGAGTTAGGGAATTATGGAGAAAGTAGCATAAGACTTTTGAGAAGAAAAAATATAAATTGAAAAAGCAAACTCTCAGAAAATTCTGATATAATCACACTGCAGTCAACTTGGCCCACAGGCTCTAGCATAGTATAACTGTTGCCATTTCCTTCATGTTCTGAAATGCTCACTAAGTGTTGAAACACTTATATTTTATAATGATTCTTCAACTGCTTTTCTTTTTTAAAAATTAAGACATATGTAACAGACCTATCAAAAGAAAATTAATTCTCTAGGGAGCAGATTCAGTTGACTAGATTAGACTAGACTGATAGTTCTCTTGGGGGCTGATGAAATCAGCTCAAGTACCAAATGATGTCCCCAAATCTTCCAAAATAATAAATTCTATTTTACCTCTAATTCCTTACCCCAGAGGAGAGATTAGTCTCAGTTGTTGTCACAGATGAGAATGAAGTAGTATTTTGGTTTAGATGGTATCCGGTATTTTTCTCCTTGAAGGAAAAGAGAATCAAAGGGGAGTACTTTCAATGTTTCTTAAATTGGACTCTAGGTATCTATATATTTTGCTTACACATAAGGTCAGCCTTGCCAGCCAAATCTTCAAACAGACCTTGAACTTCAAATGATTTTCTCCTCCCACCATCCCCGTGCACAAAAGAATGACTCTTGAGCTATGCTTTGGTTTTCCTGCCCTGTTAAGACTCACCTCTAATCACACCCTTTCAAAAGAACAATCTTTAAACAAGAAAGGCAAATATATTTAAAAGAATCTTTGGTACAATCATGGAAGAAAGAATGCTGCTCTCTTCCTACTGGTGAATAAGAGAAAGGGTTGACTGTGTCTTGGACACATGAACATAGAGAGTAACAAGCTGAGAAGAAATAAAACCACTATTCTTCAGAATCCAGAGTCAACCAAGCAAAATAGACATTAATACACCGCTTCACAAGGTCAGAACCCAGTTACAGAACAAACAACAACAAAACCTATTTGTTGGAGAATTACTTTCAAAAACTGAAATGAACTTTTCTGCTGCTCAGGGGTATATCTATCCCTTTTTTACTCACCCTGTTGGCACCAGTTTATTATCAGTCACGTGGTAAACAAAAACGCAGCAGCAATACATCTGCGTGCAACTATGAGAGGACACAAAACTTAGAACCAAATAGGAAAATCTCTCTTACATCTAAGGGCACTATAAGAACTTAGAATTTCACCTCTATCATTCTGGAGTGAAGGAGGGGTATATTTTGGGAAGAGAGTACTGGAAGACACTAAGAATTAATGAAAAATGCCTTCTGAACTAAGAGTGAAGGAATGAAGAGATAGAAAACATCCTGAACATCTAAAATGACAAGTCATGGGCTAGCCACTTACATTTGTTGACTCATGATGCCCTAGCTATAAGAGTGTAAACAAATTTGCAATGACAGCCTAGGAAATAACCCTTTCCTTATGATGGCAGTTTTAACATTACCTATATAGTGGTTTCAGTGAGCTACAATCTTATAGCAAAAGTTGATTTATAACTTTTAAAAAAGTCAATTAAGTTTTGGCAGTAGCTCACAAGAACTTTAAATATAGGTAGATAGGGAAACAACTTCTGCAAGTATTCCCAAACAACACTGCAGTCTTCCCCTAAGAGATTCTTTCAGTTTCCCTGAGAGACTGTAAATCCTACCTGAACCAGGTGAAGCCCTCTCATCCCTTAACTGCATTTTTTTATTGTAAAAACAAAACAAAAAGGGATATAAACAGTACATAATTTCAAAAAAATAGTAGGAAACTAACATTAGTTAATATATTGCATAGTATTATCTTAGAAGTAGTTGTTCAGATTAGATTTAGGCATGAAAAAAGTGATGATCTTCCCCCATTTTTAACAAGAAACTATGGTGGCCAATTTTTTTAATTTTAATTTTAATTTTAAAGAGGATAAAATTCAACACAACAAAACTTAACAAAATAGGACATAAAAAAGCAATGTAAGAGATAAAAATTTCAAACCTAGATGACCTGAGATCTTCACTGTATATCACATTGTCTCTTGTTTTCTTCCAAATAGTTGTCCATGTCTTCACATACAGAGAACTCATATTATAACTCATTTTATAAAACTGATCTGAACAGAATGAGAAAGGTGATTCAGGTCTTCAAAACCAGACAATAGGGAAGTCAGTAATGGCTGTCTTAGAGTCTCTCGTTCTCTTCAAAATATCTGCCATAGCCTGCCATGCTTACAGCTGCTCACCAGGATGGGGAGGGGTTGCTTAGTTTCTCAGCACTCTGAGTCCTGGCATGGCACCAGTCCAAGTAAACACCAGTGGCTCCCTTCCTGGGTACTCCAGAGCCTGCCACGCTCACAGCGGCTCACTGGAGGGAGGGGGTTGCTTGGTTTCCTGGGGCTCCAGGTCCCAGCATGGCACAGGTCCCAGTAAATGTCGATGGCTCCCATCCTGGGCCACCACAGCTTACCATGCTCACAGCCGCTCAATTTTGTTCTCACACTAGTGCTATCAGAGATCTTTCTAAAAATGTTTATCTTGGTTTAAAAGCCAATAGATAGGAGATAAAATAAAATACAAGAATAATTTTAATGACCCTTAAAATTAACAGATGTCATAATTGGAGAAAAACAGGCTCACACTAAAAAACAGAACTCACACACAATACAATAACAATACAATACACACAATACAATATAATACAATCACACACAATACAATAACAGTGAAAATGATGATTCAGTTTGACATCAATTTGTATTACTTACTATAAGATGCAGTAAATTGTAATCATATAGTTATTTGTATCTTTTGGACCTCAGAATGAGGAATGGGCTGCACACAGATGGAGGAAAACCAAGCAGGGCTATCAAAGAAAGAATGTACAAGCCCTAAGTCTGCTAACCAGGGACCTAAAATTGCCCCATCAAACAGTAATACAATGAAATAACTTCTGCTCTTCCAAGGATTATATTAGATGAAATGTGAGTGGACTCATAGAGCACAAAAACAACATTGAGTGGTTGTACATTCAGTTTGTATGTACTCAAGCATGCACGTTTGCATAAGTGTTCAGTGTATTCCTGAGATTTCTTTCCTTTCTCTTTGCTATGGAGTGAATTGTGTCCCCTCTAAATTTTGTATGTAGAATGCTAGGCCCTAATACTAGTGAATTTGAAATAAGGATTTTAGAAAATAATTAAAGTTAAATAAGGTCATATAGATGTAGTCTTAATTGGAAAGAATTGGTAGCCTTATAAGAAGGGGAGGAGAGGGAGACCTTTCACTTGTCATATTCATGTACAGCAGAAAGATCATGCGAGCACACAGCTAGATAACCATCTGCAAGCCAGGAAGAAAGACTGGAACTTGAACATCCTGGAAACCTAACATCTGACTTCTGGCCTCGAGTACTGTGAGAAAATAAATTTCTGTAGTTTAAGGGACCTCATCTGTGACATATTGTTAAGCAGCCCCAGCTTTGCTGAGCCTTTCATTGGAAGATCTTGGGCTTCCTATACCTGAAATTCTTGCCTTTGTAATATTAGAGGTCCTGGTTCACAATGAGATGTACCTTAACCAGCAGGCACAGCAATGTGTTGACCAACAAGTATTGGTTGACAGCAGGACACTTTGGCTGTTTGTATCTAATGACCAGAAGCCCAGAAGAAAATTCACCATTCTATTAGGCATAGTTGAGCCTGTTTTCAGGTAGAGAGAAGAATACATGGAACTCTGATGGCCCACCTAAGGCCCCCCCCCAGTAATTATCTAAGTGTAACTGTGAATGAACGTATCCATCAAATTCAGTCTTAGAAGGGAATGTTATCAGGGGCTCTGACCTATAAAGAATGAGGGTTTGGGTCAAACCACAAAACAAGCCACCAAAATTTGCCAAGGTCATAGATGAGGCCAATTGCATTTAGGATAGAGAATAGAAGAAGAAAACAGTGAATGTCATTTGCAACTCAAAAGCTGCTGAGGTGGGGTTGACTGGCTATAATTTATACTATTAACCTGCCTCTTTTAAAAAAGACAAACAATTGCTCTAGATTATATTCTTCCAGAACATATATGTCAGTTTGGGCTACATAGTGAGTTCAGGGGCAGCTTGAACTACACAGTGAGAACCTGACTCAAAAACAAAAAGACAATACATATGCATAAGTAGAGCAGTATGATACAAGAGGTAAATTGTGGCAGAAATAGAGAATCCCTAGGTGTCTCCGGAAATATCTATTTCTTTCCTTTTTTGGTCATTCAACAAAGGACTCACTGCCCACATGCAAAAAGATCAACTGCTTGAAAGTCATTTACTGTTAGCACCATCAGTGCTGGCATCAGATCTTGAGCCAAACTCATGTTCTTCTGAGTAAAATAAAGCAGTGGTACAAGACAATAGCCATTTCTTCCCAGTGTGAGA